CACCCGTTGAACGATTTGACCAGTTTAAATTGGACATTAACTTAGATCATCTCGATATAAAGTAATTATAACTTTCCGAGGTCGTCCAATAGATATCTGGCCAGATAATTACAATTTACCCATGTGAACCTATTATTTTGTCGCACTTTAAAAACACTTTTTACAAACGTGATCACTGCGGCCATACGGCAGATCATGAAGTTGTAATACTTGACAATGTAGTTTCTTATGGGGGTCTATACTTTCTGTTAACTTGTCATAAAATTATCTGACCTACCAGACCTGACCCCGCGAATTGACCGAGAAATACTCGTGAACCTATCAATATATCGCGAAGTGTAGGTGTCAATAATTATCAGTAGAAAATAAATAAAATTAATTATACGATTCTAAATTCATTAAACGGTTTCATATTGAGCATGGTAGCCCACCAATTATGACGACAAGCTCCAGGAATAATATACATATACTGGTGCCACTCGGGTCCCGACCCCAACACCTCTAAGAGGATGGAAAAGGCAATAACGGCGCCGACGGATGGCATTAGGCGTACGAATCGGCGAATGATTTTGCGGATCGGAAACAAATAATTGACGGCTGAAGTGATACCCGTCCCATGCGAACGGCCTAACTGTCCATTTGCTTGAAGCAAACCGCTTACCATAAAATAGATGCACATGGATTGCATGGCACATGCATGTAGTATGTCACTTAATATCCTAATTTTGTCCATTACTTGAAAAGCATTTGCTAGTATAAAAAAGAAATATTTAAAAATAATGGACATTGATAACTGATACATTTTGAAATACTATGTTTATCACACAATAAAAGATTGTTATTTATTTAAAGTTAATTTCCATTACCGTTATAATTATGATTTGGATGACTGATCCTGAACCCATGGTAGTGAACTGCCATTACATATAACGATAATAAGGTTCGTATTCCCGATAAACACGACAGCCATTGATCCCGATGTGTGTCCACTTGAAACAGATTACAAGTGTTTTTAGTGATTGAAAAGCTTTCCACAAATAACCGCAAATTTTGAACCAATTCTATGAGATTTATATTTGTTTTAATTGAAAGTTGTCAAATAAATTGAAAATAAATGTTACCATTATTATTTGTTGTTGGATATAGTTTACTCAAGATTGGTCCAAAAAAAGCCAGCATGATTATTAATATAAAACAGCAACTTCTCAGTTTCATATGTATATACAAAGAATTTGAGCACAATTATAATTATTGTCTATTAATTACTTAAACAACAAATACAAACCCAATGATGATATGCAACCATTGAATCGGATTATCATTTCTGTGAACGCATTGCTCTAATCGTGCGCTCAATAAGTGTTTCGATGAATCTATTGAGAAGAATCAAACATTTATGAAATATATCACCTTGCACAGTGCACAGTACACTACAGTACAGTACCGTACAATATTCGCATAGTTTTCAAATTTCATAAAAATCATACATTTTTGAAGCATTGAAGTGATATCGCGTTCACTGCAAACAGTGGGCAAACAAATACCGATCGATGCCTTCATACCATTCAATTCATCCCTTATTTTGAGCTTAAGGTTAAGAAATAAAGTTTAATAATATGTTTATTAATTGAATGTTCAGTTAAATAATGAACTAATAAACTAATCAAGTTGAATTATACTGTATAAACCTATGGTTAGCAACATACTACAGGTGCTTCACTAGTAGTGACATATCTATATCTATAATATTTTAGCATTATATCATATAAACTATACGTACATGAACATGCACATTTCCAATAATATGTTTGATGGGTATCTGTAGAGTGCAATACTGACCCAATATGTGAATACTATTTCCATTTGTGTGTGAATTAATAGCCAGACACTGATCATAATCTCCAAAGAAATGTGTCGTACATTTCCAATAATATGTTTGATGGGTATCTGTAGAGTGCAATACTGACCCAATATGTGAATACTATTTCCATTTGTGTGTGAATTAATAGCCAGACACTGATCATAATCTCCAAAGAAATGTGTCGTTCCTTTTAAGATACCGGTGCCCAAAGTGGCCGAAGAGTCCACCACTTAATGTCGAATAAAATGATTAAATCGTAATCTAATTCTAAGATTACTTACTTGTGAACAGCCATTCCTGTTGGACAGTAAGGTTATCGTCCAATAAATCATGGATTACTTGCCGACACTCGACACTAATATCCGTTTCGTTGTAATACGAAAACAATTGATTGGAAATCAATTGCTTATAACGTATTGATTGAGATAATTGTATGCAAACTATGGATAATATATTAGTTATCAAAATAAGTTTAACTAATAACTTCATAATTTTATTTTATTAATTTGACAAAAAAATTATAAATTTACTGCAACTCAAAATAAAGTAAGAAAGTGTATTATATACTGTATACGGTATAAACATTTAAGTAATGTTAAATCAGCACTTTTAAAAATTACAAGGCTAATTTTATTTTAAAAATGATATTACATAATTATTTGCTTAATATTTTATAAATTGAAATTAATACATATATACTGTATGTAAAAAATCATTTTTAAAAATTTCTAGGATTTTCTGTTATATTTAAATTAACAGTCCAATCTTTGTTGTTAAACTGCTATTTAAACTGGGTTACACTAAAATTTTTAAATTAAATATTAAATCTTATTTGATTATTCTGATTCAGTTACATGTAATTAATATACAATATACATGTACATGTACAATATACATTTTAATTTGTCATGAAATACTCTAACAATCGTTTTAATAATGTTTTCATTTTCTAAGGATAGAGGTTTAGCCAAATCATCGACTCATATATCTGTTGCCAAACCATGAATTCAATAATAATTTGCAATCACTTATAAATGTATATCTGAAAAGCCATTATGAGATAAGTCTTTAAAAATGCTTTTATTTCTTCTTTAAATATTGTTTTCGTGTAAAGTTTGAAAGCAATCAGTTTATACATAGTATTTCAAACTTTACACGAAAGAAATAATTAAAGAGGAAATACAGTAAAAGCATTTTTTCAGAGACTCATCTCATATTGACTTCACAGAGATCAAGTTGCTTGCTAACCACATTATTGTTTGCTACTATTGCATATGTGGTATAATTTAATTATATCATATAAGTAGTACAGGCGTGGTACGTCATGGATCCAAGATGGCCGCCAATTTATAGGCTTACTAGTGCTAGAGTTTTATGAGCCCCCGTCTTCCTAGTGCTACGTGTTTTTTCAAGATGGCGGACCTCGCCTAACAGTGCTAAGCCTTTCCCAACCTTCACTGTACTAATCCCTCGCCTGCTTTCCTAGTGCTTCCCAACCTCTAGCCTTCCCTGTATTAAATCTTCCCCAGCCTTAACAGTACTAATCAGTCTATAGCCTTAACAGTACTAAACACTTCCAAGTGCTAATAATAATAATAATAATACGAATAAATTGAATTTTAAATATATATTTAAATTTATTATAAAATGAATACAAATGTAGATAATTATAAGTATTTAATGTTGAATTAAACATAAATTTATAATAATATTAATACAATCAGAATGTGTTATTAAATAAATGAGTCTTAAAAAAGTGTGCATAGGAACAACTTTTTGAACTGAGAAAATCCCATCGGGTTTATGAATATGTCGATCGCAGACCAGACAATTTCCGTAATAGGACCTCATTTTCTTTATAGATGGCATATTCAGGTCAACGAAGGGAATATCCAATTCATTTAAAATTACAGCCAATTGTTGATTTTTAACAATTTAAATTGAATGGAAACTCAACGTCATAACTACGAACAATATCAGAATTAATACCAATTACAGCCAACTCTCTGGCACAAAAGTCAGAATTGACTATAAAGCCTTGAACATCTACAAATGCACAAATAGTCTCCATTTTAATTTGAAGTTAAAAGATATCTGAAATTCTTTTGAAAACTCCTGATCAAATAGCGCTTACGTCATCATTGAACTCGTAGTCACATTTACTAAATAACGATTCAATTTTCGAAAGTGATAATCCAAATGCTTTTAAATAAATAAAAATTATACAAAAATGCCCACAATTTATTGAATTTAATCCTTCAATTATTTGATTATATACCCAACCTTCTAAACAAAATTTATTTAAAAATAAAATAAATACAGTTTTTAAAGGCTGTAAGCCATACGAATCAAAATATTCTCCAAATCCTTTTGAATTTATTTGTACAGAAACCCAATGTTCTCCATTTTTATTAGATGGATGTGTATTCATTATTATTGATGAAGGGGGAACTGGCAAATTGACCTAAAAACCAATTGACCTAAACTTAAATAACTTAATGACCAATAGACTTTTGACCATTGTAAGAATAGGTAAGGTTAGGTTAGGTTAAATAACTTAATGACCAATAGACTTTTGACCATTGTAAGGATAGGTAAGGTTAGGTTAGGTAAAGGGGAACATTTTACACTGGTCATCAGGTATATTTACCTACTGATCATTAAGTTATTTAATTTTAGGTCAATTGGTTTTTAGGTCAATAGACCCGCACCCGATGAAGGATATCATGTTATATTTGGTAGGTAGTCCAATGCATACACACCTTTAAAACATTTAATGTTTTAATATTGCTTGAATTTCTAATGGATTCATTTTAATATTGATCAATAGATACGTTCCTTTTTATATCAATTTCAAGCAATTTGTCAAATTCACAAAAGATTAACACAGTAACAGATTCTTTTAATGGTTTATCAAATCTTATTGCGAAACGTAATAAACCATATCTTAATTCGTTTAAATGTCCTAATGCACCATATCCGTTACTCAAATCAGGTGCAAAGTTTAGATCATAAAGTTTAGATTTCCTTTATTATAATTATTTCTATTTATATAAAACGTAGAATCAAAATCAATCATATCCAATGATTCATATAGACTATACATTTCCTTTTGAAAAACAGGCAGTTTTAAAATTTGGTGTATATCCTTTAGGTGGATATTGTTCACCATCAAGATAAACGGTTAAATTTGAAACATTATAATGCTTAAAATTAAATGGATTTAACTGATAATCCCTACAATATGCATCGCTATTTATTAACGCAATAAATATTCTACGTGGAAATTGTTCACTATATATATTCATCGATAGCCTCGATAAGGATGTGTCGAATGGTGTGAATGAAGTCGAGTTGATTCAACTGATGGGCGCCTATACTATGGATGTGATCGCCAGCTGTGCCTTCGCCACCAAAACCAATACATACGCCGATCCTAACAACCCGTTCACTACCAATGCATTCAATATTAACAATATTCCCGTTTGGAAAGAGATGTTAGAAATGATAGTGCCTTCAGTTATACTCAACTCTGATATATACCGAAGTATTGTAAACAATGGCATAATTTATGGCAAATTCTTCGTCGATTTCGATAAAGACTGATAAAGAAACGAAAGGGAAACAACGAAAAACATAACGATTTTCTGCAGCTATTAATGGATGCCGAGAGACCTGATGGAGACATACGAGAGGCCAGTGATGCCAATGAAGCACATCATGTGAATGAGGGTAAGCATGAGATGACAGCCAATGCCGAAGCCTTTGCCGGAGTGTTGGAGAAGAAGTTGACTGAAGACGAGATATTAGCGCAAGGTTTACTCTTTTTTCGGCCGGGTATGTGACGGTTACAAATACTCTGTCGTACTGTACGTATGAGTTGGAACTAAATTCGCGACTTCAGGACAGACTCTATGAGGAGACCAAAGAGGCGTTCAATGAAAAGGGAGAAATGGATTGCGAAGTCATATCGAGACTACCATTTCTGTAGTCATTACGCACTCATATCCGAGACTCTTCGCCACAGTCCGCAAATACTTCGCCTTAAGAGGGAAGCCATGGAAGTAGAGTGACCAGATCATTTTCTCAAAATTGAGCTTAGAGCTGGACATTTTTATAAATAGTCAAAATTACGATCTATTTTAAATTTCAGGCTGGACATTCCTATCTTTTCAATAGAAAATTTTTTTACGACAAAACTGAACAGAAACCCTCAAAACTGGACGATCCAGCCCGGAGCTGGACGTCTGGTCAGTCTACATGGAAGACGTAATGTTAGGCAACACTGGAGTAATGATCGAGAAGGGAGTGATCGTTGAGATCCCGGTGTATGCCATACATAACGACCCCGAGTACTATCCGGATCCATTCACTTTCAACCCTGATAGATTTATGCCGGAAAACCGGTATAACATCCAGCCCTATACTTACCTTCCATTCGGTTCGGGTCGACTGCATTGCATTGGAATGCGGTTCGCGTTATTGTCAGCAAAGCTCGCGTTGGCGAACATCTCGCAGAAGTTCCGCTTCTCCAGAGTCACCGACACTGACGTCCCCCTCGTCTACATTCAAACAGTTAGGTATATTACAACCCAAACGGCTTGTTGTGGGCATTCAGAAACGATAGACTAGTTTAGTTTAAATATTGATATGATGTAAAAGATTAGCTATACCAAAAGGTCACCTCCCAAAAGCTGGATCTAAGTTATGGACACTTGTATAAAAATACTAACAATTCCATGCAATCTCTTATGTTATACTTACCCTTAGACGATACGCCGTTTAGTCCATACTTGGGTTCACTAGAGCTTGAGTTTGGGTTAAACTCATATTGTATTAGTTTTATATAACCATTTGTTCAATAAATACAGTTATGTGCCTGATAATCGGCTAAATTCATTTACTAAAGGCGTTCAGTCCTTATCAATTGGGGGCTCGCCCGGGATAGGAAAGTGTCTTGAGTCGGTAATGTATGAGCACCGGTATAGTATTTCGTCCACTGTATTAGGCTTTACCCTCTGAAAACGGATTGGTCAGCACTTTTGATCGGCTTTTCCAACCGTTGGACCGATTATACTGAAGCGATCGGACACTACTACGCCTTCATAGGATCGGCTTCCATCGTTTGGTGTCTACCAAAGCAGGTCAGGGCAACCGATCGTTGGACTGGATCGACCCGAGGCTAGTGTCACGCTCGCCTTTATACGGCCCTTTAATAGCGCTTTGGTTTGGAAAAGTACGCGAAGCTGTATGCCCTCTACCGCCGTTGGATTCTGGAGAGCAGTGGCCAATGCTACCCGTGGTTTGTTACTACTGGTCAGCTTTCCTATCCTGACACCCAATGAAGGTTCTGAATTGAATAACAATTCTGATGATCTTATGGGAAACGGAGAGATCATTAACACATGAATTAACAAAGTTGTACTCAATACGGTCATCTAACAAATTACCTCTATACGAAACCAAATCAGAATAATTGGTTACAAATGGAATAGAGGTTTAATTGACCAGAATCTCATGGAATCCCCAGTTTTAGGCCTGAATTTCCCATCAGACTATACCACTGATACCCTTAAACCTATTCTCTGCTCTCACGATGAGATGTGTGAAGGGATTGTCCTCTTAATTGGTAAAAACGGGAACTGGCAAATTGACCTAAAATCCAATTGACCTAAACTTAAATAACTTAATGACCAATAGACTTTTGACCATTGTAAGGATAGGTAAGGTTAGGTCAGGTCAAGGGGAACATTTTACACTGGTCATCAGGTATATTTACCTACTGGTCATT